GGATGGAGGAATATTTACCAAGCAAATGAAAAGCAAAAAAAAAAAAAAAAAAAAAAAAAAACAAGGATTGCAATCTTAGTCTCTGATAAAATGGACTTTAAACCAACAAAGATCAAAGATCAAATGACAAAGAGGGCATTACGTAATGGTGAAGGGATCAGTGCAACAAGAAGAGCAAACTATCCTAAGCATATATGAACCCAATACAGGAGCACCCGGATTCATAAAGCAAGTTCTTAGAGACCTACAAAGAGACTTAGACTCCCATACAATAATAGTGGGAAACTTTAACATCCCACTGTCAATATTAGGCAGATCAACAACAGAAAATTAACAAGGATATTCAAGACTTGAACTCAGCTCTGGACCAAGCAGAGCTAATAGACATCTATAGAACTCTCCACCCCAAATGAACAGAATATATCTTCTTCTCAATTCTTTATACAAATATGAAAAGATAATTTATTTCTCAGCAGGTTAACTCTAATTTTTTTTTTTTTTTTTTTTTTTTAATGCAGAGTCTCAGTCTGTTGCCCAGGCTGGAGAGCAGTGGCATAATCTTGGCTTACTGCAACTTCTTCCTACCAGTTTCAAGCAATTCTCATGCCTCAGCCTCCCAAGTAGCTTGGATTACAGGCTCCTGCCACCACGCCTGGCTAATTTGTATATTTTTAGTAGAGATAGGGTTTTGCCATGGTGGCCAGGCTGATCTTGAACTGCTGACCTCAGGTGATCTGCACATCTTGGGCCTCTCAAAGTGCTGAGATTACAGGCATGAGCCACCATGCCTGGTCAAATGCAATTTTTATATCACATCTTTTAGTATAAAGCTTCTCAAATTTTAAAATTTCATAAAAATTACCTGGATATCTTGTTAAAAAGCAATTTCTGATTCAGGTGGTCTATGTTGGCAGGTTTTTCAGGTTTTTCATTCCTAACAAGTTCCCAGTGATGATGCTGCCACCTGGTCCAGGGACCACATCTGGAGTAGCAATACTCTAGAAATGGGAAATGTACATCTAGAAGTACTCTAAGATGACACTTAGCCTGACACATTTGTTTTATTAAAGGATTTCAGCCACTTTGATTTTTCAGGTTTCTTTTTCTGTTTCATGTATTCATTTAAAAAATTGTAAACTATTCAATGGCAAACAGAATTCTAGTATTTTGTATTTTTGTATGTAGCACAGAGGCTATACAACCACCAGAAAAAAATGTTATAGAGCAGTGTAAGGATTTGGCCAGCAATTTATATGAAAATGTCATATTGAATAATATTAGGCAAAACATACAGATTTGAATTAGCCAATAGTCATATCATTTGTTATTTTATTACACACAGCCATTATACATATTTATATGTTGCTGTCACTTGTTAACTATTGAGATACTGGATTTCAAATCCCTGTTGATGACTGGACATTAAGTTGGTAGTTGGCAAGATAAGTTTAGATTCCTTTTTCAACTTTAACATTCTATCATGTGGCATGGCAGTATTAAAGAACTTGCTCACATTCACGTAACTGTCTTGCCTCAAAGATGGGAACATAGCAGCTTTCAGTTTAAGTTAAGTGCATTATGCAGCCTCCAAACTTTCAGTGATTCAAATGGTCCTTTCCTTACCAAGAAACATAAACATATATATCAAAACTGGATCTTACATTTGATTTTCGAAAACAGCTTTTTAAATTTTCTTAGTTTGTGTCAAGTGGACCAAACACTTTGATAAATAATTAACATTTCATTTTGTGAATGTGTCATCATCTAGGCAGAACTATTAAAAATGCATTTTATCTAGGCAGGTTTTGGATAGTCACATTGTGGAAAATGTCCCTTAATACATGAGAATTTTTAAAGAAAAATGTGCTTTGTTGGTGTAAATCCCTTATCTGGTAGCATGTTCTTATATTTCCAGTTGGATTTTTCTTAATGCTCATTTTCTCTATAGTATGAGACTTCTTACCACTATTTGATACAAATAATATTATACATGCATGCTATTACAATCCCCACTTTTCAAACAGTTATTTTTTTCATTGGGGGAAACTGGGTTTATATTCTGCTGAATTTTTAAAATTACTTGAGTATGTCTTCAAGAAGTGGGGCATAGAATGTGGATATGTTCTGAGACTGCCTGCTACCTAATCCTTCCATTCATCTTACATTTTGGTATGTCCAGGAAATATGGATGCCATTTCCAGATCAAGGAACAAAATGATTTAAATTAAATGTCCATTTTTTTCAAACAGATGTCACTACTGATACTCATCTATATTTTGTTCTATTAAATATTGTCTATTCTCTTCTTTTACATCTTATAGATTAAATATACATAATAATAAAATCTGATTAACAAAAAGGTACTTGATGATACTAAAATAGCTAGAGGCTTTAAAAATCTATCATTTTTGATATGCATTGATTTTCTATTTAAAAGCACCAAGCTAATTATGTTACAGTGAATCTATTCATCTGAAAGTGTACAGTCAATGGAAATTGAATGTAAGAGAATATCAAATATATATCATAAGATTGAAAGGTTACATATTCAGTAATTGATATGGTTTAGCCATGTCCTCACCCAAATCTCATCTTGAATTCCCATGTGTTGTGGGAGAGACCTGGTGAGGTTATTGAATCATGGGAGCAGGTCATTCCTCTGCTGTTCTTGTGACAGTGAATAAGTTTCGTGAGATCTGATGGTTTTAAAAATGGGAGTTTCCCTGCACAAGCTCTCTCTTTGCCTGCTGCCATCTATGTAAGATATGGCTTGCTCCTCCTTGCCTTCTGCTATGGTTATGAGGCCTCCCCAGCCATGTGGAACAGTAAGTCCATTAAACCTCTCTTCCTTCTGTATATTGCCCAGTCTTGGGTATGTATTAATCAGCAGCGTGAAAGTGGACTAATATAGTAAATTGGTACCAGTAGAGTGGATTGTTGCTGAAAAGATACCCAAAAATGTGAAAGTGACTTTGGAACTGGGTAAAGGCAGAGGTTGGAAGAGTTTGGAGGGCTCAGAAGTAGACAGGAAAACGTGCAAAAGTTTGGAGCTCCCTAGAGGCTTGTTGAATGGCTTTGACCAAAATGCTGATAATGGTACAGACAATGAAATCCAGACTGAGGTGGTATCAGACAGAAATGAGGAACTTGTTGGGAACTGGAATAAAGGTGACTGTTGTTACGTTTTAGCAAAGAGACTGGTAGCATTTTGCCCCTGCCTTAGAGATTTGTGGAACTTTGAAACTGAGAGAGATGATTTAGGGTATTTCACAGAAGAAATTTCTAAGCAGCAAAGCATTCAAGAAGTGACTTGTTTGCTGTTAGAAGCATTCAGTTTTATAAAGGAAGGAGAGCATAAGAGTTTGGAAAATTTGCAGCCTGACAATGTGATAGAAAAGAAAATTCCATTTTCTGAGGAGAAATTCAAGCTGGCTGCAGAAATTTGTGTAAGTAATGACAAGCCAAAAGTAAATCTCCAAAACAAGGGAGAAAATGTCTCTAGGGCATGTCGGAGGTCTTCACAGCAGCCCCTCCCATCACAGGCCTGGAGGCCTAGAAGGAAAAAAATGGTTTTGTGGGCCAGATCCAGGGTCCCCATGCTGTGTGTAGCCTAAGGATTCCGTGCCCTGCATCCCAGCAACTCCAGCTATGGCTGAAACTGGCCAAGGTACAGCTCGGGCCATGGCTTCAGAAGGTGCAAGCCCCAAACCTTGGCAGCTCCCATGTGCGTTTAGCCTGCGAGTATGCAGAAGTCAAGAATTGAGGTTTGGCAACCTCCAACTAGATTTCACAGGATGTATGGAAATGCCTGGATGCCCAGGCAAAGTGTGCTGCAGGGGCGGGTCCCTCATGAAAAATCTCTGCTAAGGCCGTGTGAAAGAAAAATGTGGGGTTGGAGACCCCACACAAAGTCCGTACTGGGGCACCACCGAGTGGAGTTGTGAGAAGAGCGACACCATCCTCTAGACCCCAGAGGGTAGATCCACTGACAGATTGCACTGTGTGTCTGGAAAAACAGCAGATGCTCAACATCAGCCCGAAATGCAGCCAGGAGGGAGGCTGTACCCAGGACAGGCACAGGGCCAGAGCTGCCCGAGACCATGGGAAGCTACCTCTTGCATGAACGTGACCTGGATGTGAGACCTGGAGTCAAAGGATATCATTTTGGAGCTTTAAGATTTGACAGCCCCACTGAATTTCATACCTGCATGGAGACTGTAGCCCCTTTGTTTTGGCCATTTTCCCCAGTTTAGAATGGCTGTATTTATCCAATGCCTGTACCCTCTTTGTATCTAGGAAGTAACTAACTTGCTTTTGATTTTACAGGCTCATAGGCAGAAGGGACTTGCCTTGTCTCGGATGAGACTTTGGACTGTGGACTTTTGAATTAATACTGTAATCAGTTAAGACTTTGGGGGACTGTTGGGAAGGCATGATTGGTTTTAAAATGTGTGGACATGAGATTTGGGAGGGGCCAGGAGCAGAATAATACGGAAGAGGCAAGGAATAGATTTTCCTCCTGAGTCTCTGTAGGGAGTATGGCCCTGCTGACACCTTGATTTTGGCTGGCCTCCAGAAGTGTAAGAGGATAAGTTTCTGTTACTTTAAGCTACAAGGTTTGTGGTTCTTTGTTACGGGAGCCCTAGGAAACTAATACAAATGGTATTCAAAGCAGTAAAGAAGTGCTTATGAACATTAGTAATAAGCAGAAAGTGTCTAGGAAAGAGGGTGGGCAGAGAGTGGAGGGAACAGCATTGCCAAGCCCTGGAAGTGGGAAGGGATAATGGCATGTTTAAGGTAGAGCAGTGAGAGAAGTTCGGTACAGCAGATCCCGACAGTTCTGAACTGATTCTTTTTTCCTTCCTGGCCAGTGTTCCAGAAATTATACTTTACTCTTTACATAATAAACAATATCAACAAACTATGCAACAGAAACTTCACAGCCATTTTGCTACACCAATGAGAAGTATAACAATTCACTGCTTTTTTGACTGTTTTAGAGCTCAGTCTCCAGCTCTTTCAGAAAAGAACAACGTAGGAGGTGACAGTGAAATCAGTAAGTATTGTGTTTTCTCTGAAATTGAGCAAATTGAAAGCAAACTCAACCGAGTTCCTAGATCATAACTCCCAGAAAATAATTGACTGGGTAACTGGAGCTCAGTCGAGGGGCCCTTCTCAGCCAGTCAAAGGTGAGAGCTTCAGGGAGACTTACGACAGCCTCCAAATCCAGGTGGAACACAAAAGCCCCTGCAACTTACTCTTAGAAAACAAACCCAGAAATTCCAATCTTTGCTTTGGGAGCAGAATATCCTCAGAAGCAAGGGATGCACACCCACAGCACTTATGGCTGAAAGACTACATTTTATTTTCACTTGAGGGCTTTCCTGGTTGGAACACTGCTGTCATGTTATACCTCCCCCTTATGGATACCACTGTGCTTATAATACTCTTTACTAACGAAAAAAATACTTGTTCATTTGGCGTATTAAAGAGAGGGAGGGCATAAATATAAACGCTTTGCAAAATATTAAGAAGGAAGTGAAGTGAATTTAAGAAGTTAATAACAATCTTGCTGATAAGGTACAACAAATGGGTTATAACTAGGGTTTGCAAGCCTATTAATATTCTATGGATGTTCAGGAAAGGGAGATAGCTGCAATTGGCTAGTTATATTTCTCAAGCATCTCACAGCAATTCCTTCTTTTTTAATATCTGGGCTGCAAACCCACATGTACTGTACAAGACTTCATTTCTTGATCAAAAGTAAGGTTGATTTCTGTTCCAAGATTATATTTGCTTACTGAATGATTGCTAGGGCTTTATTGATGATCTTTTAGAGACACTCATTCCACTCATTCTCTCTGTCCAGAATGTGGTTTATTTAATTTCTTAATAATATAGCAATAGCTGAACCATGCCAATTCCTATAACAATCACAAAACACACACACGCACACACACACACACACACAGAGTATCCAATTACCAATTTTAAAACAAAAACTGTCCTCCCCATAATATCTTCACTATCTTCTTTCTCTTGTATTTTTAATTCCTAGCAGTAGATGTACTCTTAAAGGAATAACTGAGAATGGAGTTTTAAAATGCATTAAATGTTTTTCGAATCCTGAAATTTAGTTCTTTTCTAATTGTCACACATTGTGAAATGAGAGAAAGAAGCTTTGAGCAAATGAAATAAGGGAAGGGCTAATTTTGATTAAGGAAAATTATATGATTCCTTAAGTCTGTAATATGAGGCCTCTAGGGGATGTCACCTGGTAGAATTTTATAGCAAGCACTGGGTAATTTTATGGCTACCTGAACATACTGAAAGCTGCAAATGATGTTGGGTTGTCACTAGGGTGCTGAAAAGATGAATAAGAAGCAAAAAATTAAATTAAACTTACATAATTTACTAGGATGACATAGTTTCCATATACATCCAGTGGATTAGATTTTTTTTTTTTTTACAAAGGTTTATCTACTTTGTGTTTGGAAAATCATGGGAAGAACCTTTTCAGTTTCTGGCTGAAAATCATGACTGAGTCTCTAAAAATATCACAGCTATATTAAGAAACTACAATAAGAGAGGGAATTTATAGGCTAGTATGTAGAATACATTAAATTTAATTCTACTATAGAATTCTTATTTTTACCAAAAATCATAAGTGAATATATTCTAAGTTCATGTAGTATCACAAATAACCTTAAGTTGCCATCATTTAACTCAATGTCTGACATTTGTATTAGAGGCACCAACACGAACATTATCCTCTCTTTCTATATCATTAGTTCTAATTTGTCAAATTTCCCTTTGCGCTTTGATTTCTTGGTGGAGGAAAAAATATGGCAAGATACTATTCTGTCCACTGTATAAAAACCTCCTGACTAAAGGCTCAAAATAAGAAATGGAGAGAAAACTGGTTGAGGGAGGCATACAAAGACCCATACGTTTTCTATATAGTTAGCATACCATCTACTTTGTTTGTGGGATTTGGTTTGTTGGTTTAAAATCACAGTGTCAGAAGCTCTTTAGTTTAATTAGATCCCATTTGTCAATTTTGGCTTTTGTTGCTGTTGCTTTTGGTGTTTTAGACATGAAGTCCTTGCCCATGCCTATGTCCTGAATGGTATTACCTAGGTTTTCTTCTAGGGTTTTTATGGTATTAGGTCTAACGTTTAAGTCTCTAATCCATCTTGAATTAATTTTCGTATAAGGAGTAAGGAAAGCATCCAGTTTCAGCTTTCTACTTATGGCTAGCCAATTATCCCAGCACCATGTATTAAATAGGGAATCCTTTCCCCATTTCTTGTTTTTCTGAGGTTTGTCAAAGATCAGATGGCTATAGATGTGTGGTATTATTTCTGAGGACTCTGTTCTGTTCCATTGGTCTATATCTCTGTTTTGGTACCAGTACCATGCTGTTTTGGTTACTGTAGCCTTGTAGTATAGTCTGAAGTCAGGTAGCGGGAACCGAACAATGAGATCACTTGGACTTGGGAAGGGGAACATCACACACCGGGACCTATCACGGGGAGGGGGGAGGGGGGAGGGGGGAGGGATTGCATTGGGAGTTATACCTGATGTAAATGATGAGTTGATGGGTGCTGATGAGTTGATGGGTGCAGCACACCAACATGGCACAAGTATACATATGTAACAAACCTGCACGTTATGCACATGTACCCTAGAAGTTAAAGTATGAAAAAAAAAAAAAAAAAAGAAACTGACAAATGAAAAAAAAAAAAAAATCACAGTGTCAAAACATGCACAGCTGTTTTGTTTTGTTTTTCAGAAACCTGGGGGTCTCTTTTATATTTTCTTCTCTTATGATCTATGTTAAGTAAATATTTCAGTTATCAAAACGGTTGTCTAAAATGTAACTGGTCTCACCAGCATGGTGTCTCACGTGTGTAATGGCAGCACTTGGGAGACTGATGTGGGAGGATCAGGAGGTCAGGAGTTCAAGACCAGCCTGGCCAACAAGGTGAAACCCCGTCTCTACTAAAAATACAAAAATTAGCTAAGTACGGTGGTATGCACCTGTAATTCCAGCTACTCAGGAGGCTGAGGCAGGAGAATTGCTTGAACCCAGGAGGTAGTGGTTGCAGTGAGCCAAGATTGTACCACTGCACTCTGGTCTGAGTGACGGAGCAATACTCTCCATCTCGGGGGAAGAAAATAAAGAAAAAGAAAACATACGTATATACGTATATAGTGGTCTCTACACATCCATGTCACCAACTTTCCACATAGAGATAGTGATCTTTTGAAAGTTAAGTTTCACATTGCAGATGTCCTGTGTGTGATCCTTCAACGTGTTTTCTCCAGCTCTTAGGGTCAAGTCCAAAAATCCTCACATAATTTATAAGCCCAAAAGAATATCAGCCCCAAATTCAACTTTATGTACTCCTTGCACTGCTCACAGTGATACCTGGATAAAGTGTTGTGGTCATTGATTAAGAGATGGAACTATTACCAGAAGAATATTGGATGTGGAATTAGGTCTGCTGGAACAAAAAGAGCATGAATGGTTACACAGCACAGGTGGCAGTTATAGGTCACATCAGTTTACATATATATTTTTTACTGACATGAACCCAGTTCTTATAACTTTGCCTGGCAAAAGGAGTTGGAAAGAAGGAAGCTTCTACAAAAAGAATTGAAAGTGCTTCCCTGAATTTTAAGGTAACAAATGGAAATGAAGCATGACTCAATACAACGTGTGGCTGGTAGTTCTTATCCTGGCAAGTTTTTGGTAATAGAGATTGGTTCTGTGCTCTGCCCCTCTCTGTGCGTTCCCTTGGGTAGTCATTCCAGATCAACTTGCTCATTTATAATGCTGTGGATAATAATGCTTGCTTTCACCAAGCCATTGTAGAAGACGAATATGTACTGTGTGTTTAAGAATAGAAGGTAAAAGGTGGTGTGCAATCAGAAATGGTGTGTTGAAAGGTTACTAACGATGCTCAAAGCTAAGAGGAGAGAGACAGGCCATTCTCATTAGGGCTCAATAGCATTTAATGCCAGGCAGGAACACACTTATTTTTAGATATACATTTCCCTGTTCATTGAAGACAGGATTCATAAGGAAAAACAATATTTTGGCATGTAATAGGATTACAATTTTTTAGAAATTAGGTTAAAATCGTCAAGAAAAAGAAACATCTGAATAAAAGTCAGATGCATGGGCTCACACCTATAATCCAAGCAATTTGGGAGGCCGAGGCAGGAGGATCTCTTGAACCCAGGGATTCAAGACAAGCCCGGGCAATATGGCACAACCCCATCTCTACAACAATATATAAAAATCAGCCAGGCATGTTAGTGCATGCCTGTAGTATCAACGACTGGGGAGGCTGAAATAAGAGAATTGATTGAACTTGGGCTGCAGTGAGCGCTGAGGCACTGTACTCCAGCCTGGATGACACAGTGAGACTCTGTCTTGAAAAGAAAGAAAGAAAGAGAGAGAGAGAGAGAGAGAGAGAGAGAGAGAGAGAGAGAGAGAGACAGAGAAAGAAGGGGAGAAAGAAAGAAATTAATTGAGCAATAAAAAATGATCTGTGTGATCATTAAAAAAGTATTTTAGTTAAAATATGCATAACACATTAGAGTTATAAATAAATTATGTATATACATATGTTACACACACACATAAATTTACTTATTTCCATAAGAAGGAAGTATGCCAATTAGGTAACTTTACCTTTTTTCCCCATCCCCCATTTTCCTAAATCATTTTTGTACAGATTCTTGGCTAATCAGTGTCCCCAAATCATTCTTACAGAATCTAAGTGGAATTATAACTATGTAATTCCATGTAGCTTCACCTGTTTCAACCCTAGTCCATATTGCTGCACTGAGAGAACCAAGTCTGGCAAAAATCAGGGCTCACACTCTGGCTGCCATTTAAGAAGGCTCCGGATTGCAGACATCTAGGATGTTGCTATTTAAAATGCTCACTTTGGTATATTCAGGGCTTTGGAGGACTGTGCATGTCCAACCTTCAGAGAAAAAAATAGACTTAATCGCGATCTAAGAGAGAAGCAACAGACCTGCCTTATTCCAAAGCTCTCAAACACAGATGCTCAATTTTACACATTCCTGTGAAACCCTGGAACCCCACTCTCTTTGCTTCTCTTTCGATTGTCCAGGTTCCCACCCATATCTTGCTCTGGTTGGTCACAACCAGAATCTTCGCAACCACAATCAGAATCTTCCCATGGCTCTACCTACATCTCATGCTTGTCTCTGCCATTACAATATAAGGTATGGTTTGATTCTCTTATATTCTGTGTTTGGTGCCCATGCAGTCCCTCATGAGGACAAGCTGATTTTCTTCCATGTGTGTATAAACAATATCATGTTCCTTTAATTCAAATAATAAAAAGATATATAATCTGCACTGTATCTTTGAGTCACAAGGTTTCAAATTGACTTATCTGAATTATTACACATCCTTGTGACTTGGGAGGGGGACTTGTTTATTACTTTTTCTTTTATAGCTTGAAAATATTCTTTCCAAGTGTTCATTTTGTCCTGTGCAGCAATCTCTAATTCACTCCATACCCAAAGTCGATGAGAATACTTTAATCTATCATGATTAATATCATGGATTCTATAATTAAACCACCTCATTTTGGTTTCCCCACTTCCTATCTGTGACATTGGGCAAGTTATTTAACCTCTCTAAGCTTATCTGAGCCTATTTTATCGCATGCACCAAAAAGCTATTATATTATGGTTGTTGTTACTACTCTAGCTCAGCATAGCTCTGAAGACTGTTAAACATTTCACTTTTTATAATACTGTTTCTTAGACTTTATTTGAATAAAAATAGTTTATACCTTCATTAGAAACATTGTTAGATCAGTTTATCAATCTGCTTGGGCCGCCAGTATAAAAGTACCATAGACTAGGTGGATTAAACAACAGAACTTTATTTCCTTACAGTTCTGGAGGCTGGAAGTTCAAGATTAGGATGTCAGTAGGATTGATTTCTTCTGATGCCTCCCTCCTTAGCATGTAAAGACTGCCTTTTTGTGGTGTCTTCATGTGGTCTTTCCTGTGTGTGTCTGTGCCTTAATCTGCTCTTGTTATATGAAGACCAGTCATATTGCAATAAGGCCGGTCCTAAGTACCACATTTAAACGTAATTACCTCTTTTAGGGCCCGGTCTCCAAATGCAGTCACATTCTGAGGTATTGGGGGTTAGGACTTCAACATATGAATTTTAGGGGAACAAAATTCAGCCCAAAACAATCAGTATCTCTGAAATGCCTAAATTCAGGAATTTAAGATTTTTTTTCATTGAACAGAAAAAAATAAAACTAACCATCTATGACAAAGAGAGGCAGAGAGAATAACTACTAATGTAAATGTAATTTTTTTTCTGCATTGGCTTCCCTTGTCTACTCTTTTCAGTGAAGTCAATGAGGCCGTTGCCCTACATTTACTTTTATTTCACCACAGAAAACCTTCCCTTTGAAGCCCAGAGCTTATATCAAGGCTAGTTTAACTTGAATATTACTAATTTACCATGTCTCTTAACAGTAGCTTTTACAATCTGGCACCTGACCCAGAACCTATTTCTGGAAGATTTTAACCTATGTGTAAACAGCATGTAACAGAGGCTTTCTCTAAGGCATATGAAGGAATATATAAATTGTTCCATATTAATAATGATGATAATAGCAAATCCTTCTACAGTGCTTTCTACATGCCAGTCACTATTCTAAGCACTTAACAGGTATTTGCTCTTTATTCCTTTTGTGGGCTTTAAAGTTCCTATTCTGGAGAAATGCAACATTAATTTTTGTACTGTCAAGAAATTCCAGGAAGAGAAATTTTAAAATGCTGTGACTTTTGTTGAATGTATGACCAACCTCCTATCAACTTAAGAATACCTTGAGGAAAAATGTGAGGTTTTATAATTCATTCATGAGTTTTTAGTCATTTTAAATTAGAGACAATGAAGTAGTTATACCAAATGAAAGGCCTACAAATTAAATTTATGTTTTTCTAGACATTATACTAATATATACTTATCAAGTGCTGAACTTTTTATATAGTCTACAGTAAAATGCTTAGAGAGAGGAGGGTGATAGCACTAAAACTGGTTGAAAAACTGACATATATTAGACATTGAGGTAATAGACTTGTCCAAGGTCACAGAACTAAAACATGCTCCCTAATTCCATGTTACAATTTTAAGCTATCCATAATATCCTGCAATAGCTAAAATCCAAAATAAAATGGATTTTATTACATATAAATCCAAACAGACACATTAGAGAAATTGATTAAAAGACAAATGGTTGAGCTTAATCAAACAGTACTGTTGAAAGACTGTTTTATTTTATTTGCAGAACATTTTATGTTAGGCACTATCCTGTCATAAGGACTTGTTCATTGTGAGTATGCTGCACTATAGTAACTGGTTATAAAGAAAAACATAGAACAGCAGGTGTACAATAGAAATTGCTCTTTGCAGTTTAAATAAACTTCTAAGAGCTACCGTATATTTAATTCTTATTCTGTGATACATACAATGATAGAACTTTACTTACTTACATTTCTTAAATCTCATGCAAATAAGTACTTTTAAAACCAATTTTCAGGCTGGACGCAGTGGCTCATGCCTGTAATTCCAGAACTTTGGGAGACCGAAGTGGGAGGATCACCTGAGGTCAGGTGTTCAAGACCAGCCTGGCCAACACGGTGAAACCTTATCTCTTCTAAAAATATAAAACTTAGCTGGGTGTGTTGGTACACATCTGTAATCCCAGCTACTCGGGAGACTGAGGCAGGAGAATCACTTGAACCTGGGAGGTGGAGGTTGCAGCGAGCCAAGATTGTGCCACTACACTCCAGCCTGGGCAACTGAGTGAGACTCTGTCTCAAATTCAGAAACAAAAAACAAAAAACAAAACCAAAAAACAAAAAAAGCAATTTTCTATGTCTATGTTGGATAAATTTAAATTTATTTACTTTCATATCAAAACAAACACCTTAATTCTGGACTAGTGTAATAGTTTGTAATTGGTTTTAATCTCCTCTGAAAGATACTATAAGAATAACTCATATATTAATCATCCTAAAATATAAATTGTGGTGTCACTTTCCAGTTAAGATTTCATAGTCCTAGGAATTCAAGTCCAGGCAGCACTGAGTGCCTCTTAACCTTAGTCCACTTATCTTTCATGGCCTTGGGGCCCACTGTTTCACTTGGTTTCAAAAAAATAACCTGGCTCAGAGCATGTTACTGTAGATTCCTTAGAGATATCTATCTGCTCTTTCCTCTCTTTTTTCTCACATGATTGTCTTGCCTCACAGACCCTTCCATCATCTTCCAAGTGAGGAAACCTATTGAGGTATCAAGGGCTAACTTCAATGAAAACTTCCCTGACTTCCTCTGAATGGATTTGAGCTCCTCTTCTAAATTCCTCTAGCTCTTAGTTGTTACATGCTAATAATACTGATCACATACTAAAGCGTCTTATTACATTTCAGTGCAGAAATAATCCTGCTTATTGTCATATACATCTTATCATATAGATCTATACATCATTAAGTACTGTGTTTGTCACACAAAGGAAATTTTTGATAAATATTTCTGGGGAAAAGGCAATCAGGAAATGGGAAGTAATAAAAGAATGACATTTGGTGCTCTGTCCTTCCTCTTATTTCTAAAATAAAATATGTAAAAATTTGTTTTTTGCTGACATAACCATCTGAAGTGATATGACAGGCCTTTGGCTATCTAATGATATACTAGCAATTCACAAAAATTTAGGGAAAATGAGTATATATTCACAAATAGTCACAAATATAAGTATATAAGTCACAAATAGTCACACATGCTAGATTAGAAGATAAAGAATTGAGTAAAAAATGGACTTTTATTTTAATTATGTTACAGCCTACTGATAAAAAAATAATCCCAGTACGGAGTGGTAAGTTCCATAATAAATATCTACAGAGAGCTCTCTGGAAGCACAGGGAAGAAGCACCTGGGTTTGACAGGTGGCATTAGAAAAAGTTTCAAAGAACACGACATTTTTTCAGAATCTTGAAGGATGGAGATGAATTTGCCAAGCAGAAAAGAATAAAACATTATTTTATCACTTGAGAAAGTGCCTGCCCCTAGTTGGTAAATGCAGGATGTGATATTTGTAGAGAGAGGATATTATGGAGTGAGAAAGGAAGGGGGTAGCCACGTTGGGGAGGAATCGTAGAGCCATGCTAACAAGTTTAACTTTTATTGTATGCAAGATGGAGAGCCATTAAAAGGTTTTAGGCAGGAAAGTGATGCGATCAGATTTGCAGTATGCTGAAGAAGAAATTAAGGTGATCAGCCAAAATCAGAGGCAGCGAGGTTAGGGGACTGCAGCAAAGTTTAAGGGAAAGGCAGTAGTAATGGATGCGCAGGGAAAACTAATGCAGATTGCAGAAACTTAAAATGGGTTAAAGAAAGAGAGAGACAGGCAAAAGATTGACTGTGGCTTATAGTTTTTGATAAATAATAATGCTAAAAATCAAGATTTGGATTAAGAGGCAGATCTAGTGTGAGGAAGAAAGAAAATCAGTTAGCATTGCTGGTTTTTATCTGGTTCTGTAAAATCAATAACTGTCCAGGAAGCAGTTATAAATATTTTTCTGGCATCAGTTGAGACTCAGCTGAAGACATATATTCCAAAACCAATAGTTTAAGCATGGAGATAAAAACCTCCATGCATAGGGGTGTATGAAATTTGCTATGGACATTTCCGAGAGAGAGAAGGACTAAGTATAGAGTCCACAAAGAAGATTAAAAGGAAGGTTTTGAACTCAGATGAAAACTAAGGAAAAAATATTGTCATGAGAAAAAGAGTGAAGACAGTTTTAAAGAGAGTGTGTGCCATGGTTTGGATGTGGTTTGTCCTCATCAAAATTCATGTTGCCATTTGATCCCCAAAATGTGGGTGTTGGGAGGAGGGACCTAATGGGAGGTATTCGGTTCATGTGGTGGATCCCTCATGAAGAGATTAATGCTGTCTCCCAGGAGTGAGTTCTCCCTTTCAAGGGAATGGATTAGTTTCCACAAGAGCAGGTTGTTAAGAAGAGTTTGCTTCATCTGTTTCTCTCTTGCTTTCTCTCTTGTCTTGCAATATCCACACATGCCTGCCCCTCTTCCATTATCTTTCATCAGTGGAATCAGCCTGAGGCCCTCAACAGATGCACCTCCCCAGTCTTAAACTTTTCAGCAATCTGAATTGTGAGCCAAATAA